AGAGTATGGAGGGATGGTCACTGGGAAGAGGTAACTATGGGGAGGAAGTGGGAAGGGAGCTGTTGCATTGTAAACTGTGGTCAATGATATGAGACAAAGTATATGTGAACTGCTGTATGGAAAGCGAATTCACTCTGTAAATCTTCACCCAAATCACAATAAATAAAATAAAATAAAATCACAAAAAAAATAAAATAAAAAGACCATAGTAATATAAATAATTTTATTAAAATGTGAAGGCGATAAAATAGAAATATTTCAATAAATAAAGTTTACCAAAACAGACAGAAGAGTAAAAACAAGAAAATGAAAGCATGGATAGTCTTATATCTATGGAATAAATTAAATTCATAATTTAAAATTTTTCCACAAACAAAATTCCAAGTCCAGATGGAAACTTCTAGGAAGAAATAACACCAATCTGACACAAACTCTTCCATATAATAGAAAAAGAGTAAACTTCTCAACTCATTTTTATGAAGCCAGCATGACATTGAGAGCAAAACCAGTAAAATCTCTCTCATGGTCATGGATGCAAAAATGGTAAACATTAGCAAAGAAAATCTAGGAATATATCTAAAGTATAATTCTTATCTCCAAATTAGGTTTATTCCCAGATAAGCAATTAATGTTAACAGAAATAAAAAAGAAATCTATGATCATCTTAATAAATATCAATAAACCCAGAAAAGACTTGTGATAAAATTCAACAACTATTCAGGATTAAAAACAAACAAACAAAAAGCAAGCAAATAAACAAACAAACAAAAAATGTTAGCAATATAGGAACAAAAAGAAACTTAATCTGATAAAGGGGATCTATAAAAATCTTTCAGCTAATATCAAAAATAATGGTGAAATGGCAAAAGCTTTCCATCTGGAATCCTGAATGAGCTAAGGATATCTACTATCACTACTTCCATTCCATATTTTATTAGTGGTCCTTGCCAGTGCAACAAGGCAAGAAATACAAGAAAAAAGTAGAAAAGACTAAACATTACACAGAAAGAAACAGAATTATCATTATTCACAGGTACTTGTATATATAAAATAAATCCAAAAAACATACTGAATAATTATTTGAATTATCAGTTAACAGGCTTGCTAAAATCAAGGTCAATATAAATTGAAAAATTATCAGTTTCTTGTGTTTTTTTGGTTTTGGTGTATAATCGATCATGCTACAATATTTGTTATGCATTTTCTACCACAAAATATTATCTTTACACCTTATTTACCTATTAAAAGTTCTTTTCCTGCTATAAATAGTTCTGAGGCGACATCACGAAGCTCTACTTCATCTGTAACAACAGGTCCTGTTTGCAATATTCGCCTGTTTGAATCAGAAAGAGCTTCCAAAACAGCCAGAAACCGGGATGCAGTGCTATCAAACATCTCATCCAACAACCGTTCAGTGATTGTACGTGGCCACGGCAACTGGAATTAAACAATAAAAATACATATTTTAAAGTTCTACAATATTTGACATTATAAGGCAAAGAAAAGAAATACAGGCTGCTTTTTTGGTTTTCATTTTTTGAAGTGTCTCTCCAGATTCCATTTAAAATTTATAGCATGCTGTCATTACCTCGAAGATTTCACTATTTCTTATGTTTGCATGTACACGGCAGGATAAAATGGTTGCTTATTATTATTGTCTTTGTGTTAGGCCAGCACCAACCTCCACATGCCTGATTGGCACCGGAATTACAGCCTGAAGCAACTGAGGTCAGACTTCGGCTTCTTAAGAGCCCTCCGGGTGCTTTTTACAATCCCATAGCCAATCTCCAGAAACTCAGTGGTGGGTCTGGGCAGGGCATATTTAATAAGCGCTGATGAGGAATCTAATGCAAAGGTTCCTCAAGCCCAAATTTGACACATTAGAGATACTAATTTTTAAAATGTATTTGAATAAGCCCATCAAAATCTACAGTTTAACTATGCTAAAAAACCCAACTCAAACCCACTGCTACCGAGTGAGTCAAATCTGGCTCACAGGAACCCCTCACTAGGTTTGCGAGGCAGTAAATCTTTACAGAAGTAGATTGCCCAGTCTTGCTTCTGTGGAGTGGCTGATGGGTTTGAATCACCAGCCTTCTAGTTAGCAGTCAGATACCTTAGGCACTGTGCTACCAGAGCTCCTTATAACTATGCTTTAAA